CCTCGGAGGATCTATGCTCTGACTTTACCATTGTTCTGCCTTTTAGATGTAATGAAAGCTCGGGCCTTCGGCCCTCGCTGCAAAACTCCTCGGCCTTCGGCCTTGGAGGATCTATGCTCTGCCTTTGACTATTGCTCTGCCTTTTAGATGTAATGAAAGCTCGGGCCTTCGGCCCTCGCCTACTCCTCGGCCTTCGGCCTCAGAGGATCTATGCTCTGCCTTTGACTATTGCTCTGCCTTTTAGATGTAATGAAAGCTCGGGCCTTCGGCCCTCGCCTACTCCTCGGCCTTCAATTTGAGTCACTTCGGGCCTTCGGCCATCTCTTCCCCTCGATTGGACTCTTCCTTCCACTTAGAGTCTTCGGGCCTTCGGCCCTCGTCTTCCCTTCGATGGGACTCATCCTTCCACTTAGAGACACTTCTGGCCTTCGGCCCTCGTCTTCCCTTCGATTGGACTCATCCTTCCACTTAGTGTTACTTCGGGCCTTCGGCCCTCGTCTTCCCTTCATTGGGACTCATCCTTCAACTTAGAGGGCCTTCGGCCCTCGTCTTCCCTCCGATTGGACTCACCCTTCCACTTAGAGTCACTTCGGGCCTTCGACCCTCGTCTACCCCTCGATTGGACTCATCCTTTCAATTAGATTCACTTCGGGCCTTCGGCCCTCGTCTTCCCCTCGATTGGACGGACTAATCCTTTCAAAAAGAAGGATGATTGGACTCATCCTTTCAAATAGAAGGATGATTGGACTCATCCTTTCAAATAGAAGGATGATTGGACTCATCCTTTCAATTAGAAGGATGATTGGACTCATCCTTTCAATTAGAAGAATGAGTCCAATCCAAAACAAAATTTCGAAGCAGAAACTGCTTCACGAAGCATCTCTGCTTCGGATCCATAACAGGATCCAGCTTATCTCTCCACTAAATTTTCCCACATATACAAAATTCACCTTTAAACTCTTCTACGTTTTGCCCCGCATGGTCAGAGACGGAGAAAAATTTCGCCTCTCTGCCATCAACTTCACCTGTCAATCATTTTTCCTCTCTCCCTACCATAATTTTCCGAGTACGGTAATCACCCCCACAAATTTTCGAACCTCTGTACTTTCTTCAAAATGTACCGAAAAAATTCGAAAAAAATATTTTTATATCCTGCTCGATGAGAGCTTTCGAATGATATCTCATTTGCCATATTTATATCCATTTTGAAAAAAATATTTTTTGGGCCTGAAATTTCAGCCAGAAAAAATCCCTGAAATTTTCAAAAAATCATATCTCGGCCGAAGTATACCTTTTTTGAAAATTTTAAAATCCCAAAATATGTAGAAAAATCTGATTAATTTAGGAAAAATACATTCGATCCGAACAGCAGGCAAAAATCCCGAAAAAATTTAGAAAAACCGAAAATTTTTGGGTTTTTCGAAATTCGACCCCTACACCTCCAATTTCGAATTTTTCCGAAATTTTTTCGGCTCTAAAAATTTCTAATTTTTAGTACTATTTTATAAAGGAAAACCCATCCAATTCTCTTAATCCCAAAAAAAGTTATGATCACCTAAAATCCCAAAAATCCCCCAAAAGGGGTACCCCTTTGGAAATAGGGGGTGGGACAAAATTTTGGAATTTTGACCCATAAAACGTCCCATATGGTACTTTGACATGCGCTGAGTCCAAATCCGGTGTCAGAAAAATTTTAAAAAATTCCCCCGGGACGTTAGAGTCAAAAAAAGTTTCGCGACATTTGCGAACATTGGCCATAACTTTTTGAGACTCAACCGGACCCCCGACATATTATACCTTTTTCGGACCGTCAGGTGACGCTCTATAACATAGGATATCGAAAACGGGTTTCAATTCACTTTTGAGAATTGGAGCCACCCTTCCCAATTTTACATGGGGGCACTTTGAAACTTTGGGCTACTGTAACTTGGTCAAAAGTATTCCGAAAAATTTAAACTAAATTTTTCCAGACTCAGCTCGTCGAGAGCTTTCATTTGACATATCACACGTGATTTGTCGATAAGTTTCGTAAATTTCGAAATTTGCGAAACTGGGATTTTGGGATTTTTGCGCAGGCATATCTACCCTTCAAGTTGGGATTTAGACTTCGGGTTTTTTCCTACATATATCAGCTTATTCCAACTTGCGTGCCTCCCGTTGGAAGTTTTTTGATATCTCCCCCCAGTCCCGAGATACCCCCGGTACCTATTCAATATAGGTACCAGGGGGTAATTATTTCTTAACTTTCGTATTTTTCCCAAATGCCCCATCAAATAGAACCCTTAAATGCAAAAGTTTCAGACCCCTAACTCAATTCGTTAAAGGGTTAGAATTTTTCAGCCTGGGGGCATAATCATTTGGGAAGGCATAAGTACCCTTCAGGTCCGAATTTCGAATTCGAGTTTTTTGCATTCGAACTCTACTAATAGCCGTACATCATCCTCCCAGCAGACATTTTTCGCTATAACCCCCCATTGAAAAGATAGCCCCGGCGCTTAAGCGATTTAGGTACCAGGGGGTAATTATTTTGACTTCTCGATAATTTTCCTGGATGCCCCGTCCCAAACTACCCCCCGAATGTCAAACTCCCAAAACCGTGCCGGCCTTCGGCCGGCCGTTATTTTTTTTCTTAGAAAAAACACTCCCTGAATTATAGGTATATAGTAACTAGCGATGGGTTTGACCACTGGGGTGGATATCAGGACACTGTGGCGGTTAAATTTTGCTTTGGGTTTAAATTTGGCTCTGCCCGTTCGAAAGCCTACGGCTTTGGGGGCGCGCTTCGCGCGCCGCTAGCGATTTTTTATGCCTGGAACAAAAGATTAGCCTTCATTGGGACTCATCCTTCCACTTAGAGTCACTTCGCCTTCGGCCCTCGTCTTCTCTTTTAGATGGGTGTCAGCTTGGGCCTTCAGCCCTCGTTGTCTCTTTTAGATGGGTGTTAGCTCGGGCCTCCGGCCCTCGACCTCCCTCTTAGATGGGTGTCATCACGGGCCTTCGGCCCTCGCCCTCCCTTCCGGCTCTCGCCCTCCCTTTTAGATGGGTGTCAGCTCGGGCCTTCGGCCCTCGCCCTCTCTTTTAGATGGGTGTTAGCTCGGGCCTCCGGCCCTCGACCTCCCTCTTAGATGGGTGTCAGCACGGGCCTCCGGCCCTCGCCCTCCCTTTTAGATGGTTGTCAGCTCGGGCCTTCGGCCCTCGCCATCCCTTTTGGATGGGTGTCAGCTCAGGCCTCCGGCTCTCGCCCTCCCTTTTAGATGGGTGTCAGCTCGGGCCTTCGGTCCTCGCCCTCTCTTTTAGATGAGTGTCAGCTCGGGCCTTCGGCCCTCGCACTCCCTTTTAGATGGGTGTTAGCTCGGGCCTCCGGCCCTCGCCCTCTCTTTTAGTTGTGTGTTAACTCGGGCCTTCGGCCTCGACCTTCATTTTAGATGGTTGTCAGCTCGGGCCTTCGGCCCTCGCCATCCCTTTTGGATGGGTGTCAGCTCAGGCCTCCGGCTCTCGCCCTCCCTTTTAGATGGGTGTCAGCTCGGGCCTTCGGTCCTCGCCCTCTCTTTTAGATGAGTGTCAGCTCGGGCCTTCGGCCCTCGCACTCCCTTTTAGATGGGTGTTAGCTCGGGCCTCCGGCCCTCGCCCTCTCTTTTAGTTGTGTGTTAACTCGGGCCTTCGGCCTCGACCTTCATTTTAGATGGGTGTCAGCTCGGGCCTTCGGCCCTCGCACTCCCTTTTAGATGGGTGTTAGCTCGGGCCTCCGGCCCTCGCCCTCCCTTTTAGATGGGTGTCAGCTCGGGCCTTCGGCCCTCGCGACTCCATTTTAGATGGGTGTCAGCTCGGGCCTTCGGCCCTCGCACTCCCTTTTAGATGGGTTTTAGCTCGGGCCTCCGGCCCTCGCCCTCTCTTTTAGTTGTGTGTTAACTCGGGCCTTCGGCACTCGACCTTCATTTTAGATGGGTGTTAGCTCGGGCCTTCGGCCCTCGCACTTCCTTTTAGATGGGTGTCAGCTCGGGCCTTCGGCCCTCGCGACTTCTTTTAGATTAAGAATGGTAACGTAAACCTATGGAGCGTTGGCGAGGCGCTTGTGCAAAACCCCGCGCTTCGCGCGGGGTTTTGCGGCACGCGCCTCGCGGGTCGTCAAAGGTCGCTGGCTTCTGGGCTCGTAACATGATCCTATTCCTATAACTATTATGTTGCATGCCGGGCTTCCTATGCAGCAGCTCATCCACTCACGCAGCTCATTCAACTCGGGCTTCTGCCCTCGCCCTCTCTTTTAAATGGGTGTCAGCTCGGGCCTTCGGCCCTCTCTTTTAGATGAGCGTCTGATCGGGCCTTCGGCCCTCGCCCTCAATTTTAGATGAACGTAAACCTATGGAGCGTAGGCGAGGCGCTTGTGCAAAACCCCGCGCTTCGCGCGGGGTTTTGCGGCACGCGCCTCGCGGGGCGTCAAAGGTCGCTGGGTTCTTGGCTCGTAACATGAGCCTATTCCTATAACGATTAGGATGGAACTCATCCTTCCAATCAAAGGTTCTGGGCTCGTAACATGATCCTATTCATATAACGATTAGGATAGGACATCCTTCCAATCAGAATCACATTATGCCGTCGGCCCTCTTCTTCTCCCAGTTGGGACTTCGACCCTCGTGTTCCCTCAGTTGGCACTAATTCAACTACCTAATCAAAATTTTAAAAGCTGAAGCAAAATTGCTTCTAAAATCAAAAATAAAAAACTTGAAGCAAATTTGCTTCAAGTTTCAAAAATTTCAAAACCTGAAGCAAATTTGCTTCAAGTTTCAAAAATTCAAAACTCAAAGCAAATTTGCTTCAAGTTTCAAAAATCCAAAACCTGAAGCAAATTTGCTTCAAGTTTCAAAAATCCAAAACCTGAAGCAAATTTGCTTCAAGTTTCAAATATTCGAAACTGAAGCAAAAATGTGAAGCAAAAGCATCTTCTGCTTCGGATCCATAACAGGATCCAGCTTATCCAACCTCAAAATTTTTCTCTATATACAAAATTCACCTTTAAACTCTTCTACGGTTTGCCCCGTATGGTCAGAGACGCAGAATAATTTTGCTTCTCTTCCAAACATTTCACCTGTCAATCATTTTTTCTCCCTCCCTCCCATCATTCTCTGGGTACGGTACTCCACCCCACAAATTTTCGAACCTCTGTATGTTCGTTAAAATGTACCGACAAAATTCGAAAAAAATATTTTTAAATTCATCACGATGAGAGCTTTCGAATGATATATCATTTGACATATCTATCTTGATTTTTGAAATTATAATTTTTTCCCCGGAAATTTTGGCCGAAAAAAATCCTTAAAATTTTCAAAAAATCATAACTTGCTTAAAGTTAGCCTTTTTTGAAAATTTTTAAATTCTATCCGATGCAGAAAAATCTGCTCAATTCAGGAAAAATATAATCGGCACGAAACAAACGCAAAAATCCCGAAAATTTTTTAAAAAACAGAAAAATTTTGGGTTTTTCGAAATTCGACCCCTATACCCCAAGTTTCGACTTTTTTCGAAATTTTTTGGGCTAAAAAAATTTCTAATTTTTTGCTCTATTTTATAATGCAAACCCTATCCCAATACAGCCATCACACAAAAAGTTATGGCGATTTAAATAATCCCGAAAATCCCCCAAAAGGGGTACCCCTTTAAAAATAGGGGGTGGGACAAAATTTTCAAATTTTGACCCAAAAAACGACCTATATGGTACTCTGACATGCGCTGAGTACGAATCCGGCGTCAGAAAAATTTTAAAAAATTTCCCCAGGAAGTTAAAATCTCATGAAGTTTCGCGACATTTGCGAACATTGACCATAACTTTTTGAGACTCAAGTGGACCCCCAACATATTATACCTTTTTCGGAGCCCCTCATTATCCCCTCTTGAATGACTACTCAATCACCGATATCCACTTCAATCTCAAATCCCAAAAATCCCGGATTTCGAAGTTCGAACTCCGAACTTCGACTTTTCGGCTTTATCCTTTATCACATTCAACTCCACTCATTATCACCTCTTGAATGAGTACTCAAACATCCTTATCCACTTCAATCTCAAATCCCGAAAATCCCGGATTTCGAAGTTCGAACTCAGAACTTCGAATTTCGACTTTATCTTTTATCCCATTAGACTCCCCTGATAATCCCCTCCTGAATGACTACCCACTTGTGAATATCCCCAAACCCCGAAAATACCGGATTTCGAAGTTCGAACTCCGAACTTCGAATTTCGACATTATCCCTTATCACATTAGACTTTCCTGATAATCCCCTCTTGAATGACTACCCACTTGCAAATATCGCCAAACCCTGAAAATACCGGATTTCGAAGTTCGAACTCCGAACTTCGAATTTCGACATTATCCCTTATCCCATTAGACTCCCCTGATCATCCCCTCTTGAATGACTACCCACTTGCCCATATCCCCAACCCCTGAAAATCCAGGATTTCGAAGTTCGACTTCGAACTTCGACTTTAGCCATGATCCCTTATCCCACTGAACTCCCCTCATTATCCCCTCTCGAATGACTACCCTCTTGCCCATACTTCCCAACCCCGAAAATACCGGATTTCGAAGTTCGAACTCCGAACTTGGAATTTCGACATTATTCTTTATCTCATTATACTCCCCTAATCATCCCCTCTTGAATGACTACCCACTCACCCATACTTAGAAATCCCGAAAAACCCGGATTTCGAAGTTCGAACTCCGAACTTCGACATTCGGCGTTATCATTTATCCCATTAGACTCCCCTCATTATCCGCTTTCGAATGACTACTCATTCGACCATATTCGAAAATCCCTAAAAATCCCGAAATCCCGGATCCCTAATTTCGACCTTGCTTCAAATTTCCCCCATTTGCTTCAACTTTCCCCTACTTGAACTTGAAACTTGCTTCTGCTTCAAGTTTACACTTGCTTTTGCTTCAAATTTCTCCTATCAATCAAAATTTCTCTCTCACCTATGAGATTTGCCCCCAGGATTTCCTCAATTTAGAGAAATCCGACAGTTATCGGTCGGACAGTTTTCTTACCAAAATTTTTATAGAGGCATATCGACTTTCGGGTTTGACTTTCGACTTTGAAATTTTTCCTACCTATATCTACATATCCCAACTTAAAATCCTACCAGCAGAAGTTTTTCGGTATCTTTATCCGTTTTCGAGTTATTTTCGAAAAACTCGAATTTTAAATACCGACACACCCGACAATTCACTGGAGATGTCTGAATTTTGTGTCAAGCATAAGTACCCTCCAAATTCGAATTTCGACTTCGAGTTTTTTGCATTTGACATCGTCTATTGATGCTTCAGTGCCCTCCAAGCAGAAATTTTCTTCTAACTGTACCCATTCCGGAGATATCCCCGGTACCTGTATTATTTAGGTACCATGGGGGTTCCAAAATCTTCCGTCCGTATTTTTCCCAGATGCGGCATAAAATTTGACCCCGGACATGTAAAACTTTCAGCCCATTATCTTAACTCTGTAAAGAGCTTTAATTTTTCCGACACTTTCTGCCAAAACTTTTATATAATGGCTATGGGTTACGTATGCGATGGCGGTAACTTACGTATGCAATTCCTATTAGGATACTCTGGCAATTTTTTTCGGACTCTGCCCGTTGGAAAGCCTAACGGCTTTGGGGCGCGCTTCGCGCGCTGCTAGAATGTTTGGATGCCTGGAATATATTTATTTAGCTCTGCCTTTTCATTGCTTCGGGCCTCCGGCCCTCGCCGATATTTGTTCTGTCTTCCGGGATGGGTTGAAGCTCGGGCCTTCGGCCCTCGCCTCGTCTTTCCCCGTTGGGACTCATCCTTCCACTTAGAGTCACTTCGGGCCTTCGGCCCTCGTCTTCCCCTCTATTGGACTCATCCTTTCAATTAGATTCACTTCGGGCCTTCGGCCCTCGCCCCGTCTTTCCCCGTTGGGACTCATCCTTCCAATTAGAGTCACTTCGGGCCTTCGGCCCTCGTCTTCCCTTCGATTGGACTCATCCTTCAATTAGAGTCACTTCGGGCCTTCGGCCCTCGTCTTCCCTTCGATTGGACTCTTCCTTCCCAATTGCTCTGCCTTTTAGATGTAATGAAAGCTCGGGCCTTCGGCCCTCGCCAACCGGCGGGCCTTCGGCCCGCCGGGGCCAAAGGCCGATGAATGCTCTTCCTTTGACTATTGCTCTGCCTTTTAGATGTAATGAATGCTCGGGCCTTCGGCCCTCGCCTACGGCGGGCCTTTGGCCCGCCAACTCCTCGGCCTTCGGCCTCGGAAGATCTATGCTCTGCCTTTGACTTTTGCTCTGCCTTTTAGATGTAATGAATGCTCGGGCCTTCGGCCCTCGCCTACTCCTCGGCCTGCGGCCTCGGAGGATCTATGCTCTGCCTTTGACTATTGCTCTGCATTTTAGATGTAATGAAAGCTCGGGCCTTCGGCCCTCGCCAACCGGCACAAGCAGTGAGAAAATTCCACAAGCAGTGAGAAAATTTAGAGCTAGCTAGCTATGGGTTACGTATGCGATGGCGGTAACTTACGTATGCAATTCCTATTAGGATACTCTGGCAATTTTTTTCGGACTCTGCCCGTTGGAAAGCCTAACGGCTTTGGGGCGCGCTTCGCGCGCTGCTAGAATGTTTGGATGCCTGGAATATATTTATTTAGCTCTGCCTTTTCATTGCTTCGGGCCTCCGGCCCTCGCCGATATTTGTTCTGTCTTCCGGGATGGGTTGAAGCTCGGGCCTTCGGCCCTCGCCTCGTCTTTCCCCGTTGGGACTCATCCTTCCACTTAGAGTCACTTCGGGCCTTCGGCCCTCGTCTTCCCCTCTATTGGACTCATCCTTTCAATTAGATTCACTTCGGGCCTTCGGCCCTCGCCCCGTCTTTCCCCGTTGGGACTCATCCTTCCAATTAGAGTCACTTCGGGCCTTCGGCCCTCGTCTTCCCTTCGATTGGACTCATCCTTCAATTAGAGTCACTTCGGGCCTTCGGCCCTCGTCTTCCCTTCGATTGGACTCTTCCTTCCCAATTGCTCTGCCTTTTAGATGTAATGAAAGCTCGGGCCTTCGGCCCTCGCCAACCGGCGGGCCTTCGGCCCGCCGGGGCCAAAGGCCGATGAATGCTCTTCCTTTGACTATTGCTCTGCCTTTTAGATGTAATGAATGCTCGGGCCTTCGGCCCTCGCCTACGGCGGGCCTTTGGCCCGCCAACTCCTCGGCCTTCGGCCTCGGAAGATCTATGCTCTGCCTTTGACTTTTGCTCTGCCTTTTAGATGTAATGAATGCTCGGGCCTTCGGCCCTCGCCTACTCCTCGGCCTGCGGCCTCGGAGGATCTATGCTCTGCCTTTGACTATTGCTCTGCATTTTAGATGTAATGAAAGCTCGGGCCTTCGGCCCTCGCCAACCGGCGGGCCTTCGGCCCGCCGGTTCCTCGTCCTTCGGCATCGGAGGATCTATGCTCTACCTTTGACAATTGCTCTGCCTTTTAGATGTAATGAAAGATCGGGCCTTCGGCCCCCGCCAAACGGCGGCTGTGGGTTACGTATGCGATGGCGGAAGTTTAGAAGGATGATTGGACTCATCCTTTCAATTAGAAGGATGATTGGACTCATCCTTTCAATTAGAAGGATGATTGGACTCATCCTTTCAATTAGAGGCACTTCGGGCCTTCGGCCCTCGTCTTCCCCTACATTGGACTCTTCCTTCCACTTAGAGTCACTTCGGGCCTTCGGCCCTCGTATTCGCTTCCATTGGACTCTTCCTTCCACTTAGAGTCACTTCGGGCCTTCGGCCCTCGTCTTCCTCTCGATTGGACTCATCCTTCCACTTAGAGTCACTTCGGGCCTTCGGCCCTCGTCTTCCCCTCGATTGGACTCATCCTTCCACTTAGAGTCAATTAGAAGGATGATTGGACTTAGAGTCAATTAGAAGGATGATTGGACTCATCCTTTCAATTAGAAGAATGAGTCCAATCCAAAACAAAATTTCGAAGCAGAAACTGCTTCACGAAGCATCGCTGCTTCAGATCCATAACAGGATCCAGCTTATCCCTCCACAAAATTTTCCCCCATATACAAAATTCACCTTCAAACTCTTCTACGTGTTGCCCCGAATGGTCAGAGACGGAGAAAAATTTCGCCTCTCTGCCATCAACTTCACCCGTCAATCATTTTTCCTCTCTCCCTACCATAATTTTCCGAGTTCCGTACTCACCCCCCACAAATTTTTGAACCTCTGTACTTTCTTCAAAATGTACTT